TGATTTCCCAACTTGTGTGCACCGTTTAGGCAAAAAAAAAAAAAATTACCCTGAATAAGGAATTAAACTTTTGTTAAACTGTGTCTTTCCCAATTCTTGTTACAGATTCTCCATGTGATGGGGAGTGTCACTTAAACACACTCAAAAGCACCAAACAGAGCAGGGAGTGAAAAGTTAGAGAGAGAACAAATGAGAAGGGAAGAACTGTCAGCTAAACACTCCCTTAAACAAGATTTGGGAGTAGGATGGGAGGAAGGAAAAATGAACTCCCAAGACTCAGAGGGAGGGAGATTTCTGAGGGGAGAATGTTTTCCAAGTGCTGCTATAAACAACACTGACAGGCCAAAATCACTGCCACTGCAGCCCATATGGAGTCCTGCTCCTCTGGAACAAGTTTGTAACGTGTTCTCATGGGAATACTGCAAAGCACATCCTGGTGAATCCCTTCCAGAAGAAGCAAATCCTGTCCGGATTTGACACACTCATAACCACTCTTCTGCTAAATGCTGATGTATGTAAGCAAAGGGCAATACAGATAAATCTGCTGTGTCAAATGGGGACTTTTAACAGCCAGTGCCACTGAAACAGAGGTAAATGATAACTCTGGGATTACTCAGGCTCAAACTACTCACCTGTAAATAGCAGAGAACTGCTGGGACTCTCCTGTACTCTGCACCTCAGAGGATGCACATTGCACAGGGTGTGCTGTGGGAGCACCCAAACCCCTTTCCTTCACCAGACAGACATCTGAACTATGGGATTCAGTCTCCCAAAAATCTTTAAAAAAAACAGGTCTCCATCATAATCTTCTGAAGAGTATCAGGACAAAATGCTGAAGGGAAGAGGACAGCTGGTAGAGGTCAGATCAGGAGCACAACTTGGCAAATCAGACAGCTCTGGTGAGGGACCAGTGTGTGAAGAAGACAATGATGAAATGGTGAGAACATTAATTTCTAGAAGCTCAGCTCCCTGTTTCCATTCAGATTTCCTTTGCAGCATGAATAACACATTCCCAGAAGCACCTGAAAGGTTCAGTGGTTCAATCCTGGGTTCCCCCCACCTTCACAGCAGCTCTACTGCAGCACTTGGGTGCTCAAGGAAGCAACTTTCAGAAACCAGCTGAGCAGGGTAACACAGGGGGAAGATCAGCATTTAGGAATTAAAAACCTTAGTTAGTGGCTGGATAAACCTTGGGAGATGTGCCCTTCCCCAAGCTGGATTCTGGGAGAGGGAACTCTCTCAGGGGTATATTCCTAACTGTGGTTTTCCAGCCAGGAGCTGCTGGTTTTGGCAGAGCTTCCAGCTCTTCTTTCCTGCCCCTGTACCACAGCCCGTCACCCCACTGTGCTGCCAACAGAACAGTCTGTGGGGCTAAAGCTGTAAATTAAGTCACTGAAATGACTTGAGATAAAAAGTACCCTTGCCCCAGAAAGGGAATCCAGTTTCTAGCAAACAGCTGGCTCAGCATGGAGCAGAAGCAGGAATTTCTTCAGCTGGCTTCACCACTAACACAAAGCAAATCCCTGAACAGCCAACACTGCAGAGATCTCTGGGATGTGCCCAACTTCAGACCTGTTCTGGTTAGTGAGAGGGTCAGAAGGAAAGGCTGATGATATCCCGGGAGGAAGAGAAATGATCTGAGCAGGGGTTTCGGATCTCTGCTTCAGTAAATTGAATTATGTACTCAGCTCAAAAAACACCCAACACCCAAGATTGAGGGACATCCACACCAGAATGCCCAATGTCCTGGGAATCTTGTGATCCTCTAAATCAGGATATATTGCAAAGATAGCCTGGGGAACGCTTTTCTGCACCGCAGGCCTTTGGCTTACTCCCATTTGCTGCTTTGCCTATATCCATCTTTGGAAATTCCTCAGGTAGGGAACCTGTTTGCTTAAAGGTTAGGCAGGAACTAACCAACAGTGCAGATAGAGGGTGTCAGCGATCCCAAATGACTGGATTTTGTCAGATAGAACCTGGCTGCCCCTCACATGTCACCCTCACCCGCGCTGTCCTTGCACCCTTCACTGTGAAACACTGATAATAAGTGACAATAAATAATCACAATGCCCTGAGGGTAAACATGTTAGGACAGGGAGAGTCTTCTCAGGACAATGAAAGCCCAAGATGTGAAGGCAGAAAGTGCTCTGTCAACTTAATAATACTGAGTTTCATAAGATCATGAGCCAAACACACTTCTGTGGCTTCCTGAAGGAATGGTCCTGCTACACCTTTACCTTTTGCTGCCATCTTCATTTACAGGTTGTCCTATTTCAAACAGGTTTAGATCATCTGGGGTTCTTAAAGTCTCCCCTGTGTTGCCATCATCCTTCTGACTGTTCTGCTTTTCCTTCTTCCTCTCCATCACATTTTGCAGCCGCCTCTGCTGTTGCTTCTGATAAGCCTTAAACTGGCTTTTAAAATCTTGGTTCACTTTTATGTCTGACTCCATTGTTTACTAAAAGCATAACGAAATAAAGAGTGACAGAGAGCAGAGATCAGCATTGCTTTGAAAAACATCCTCTTCTGGCAGCTGCTTTGCAGCTTTTCCTCACTGACCTCTGCAGAGTCTCCCATCACCTCCTCCTCTCCAGCCCCACGGCCCTGCTTCAAGCACCTTTCTCCTTAAATGGCTTTTAAACAGGCAAGTCTTTTTCACTCCAGAATTCAGTGCTTTAAAATGTTCTTAAACAGATCTCTTCGAGTAAATATTTTTACAGAAGAGCAGGTTGGGGCCAAATCCAAGTGAGTGTGGCAACGTGGCTAAAAGGAACATGGACTGTTTGGGGTCATCCAGCCCTCCTTGACTAAAGGGCTTCCCATATTCAGGAAAGGTGCAAATCCCCCCATTTTTGGGTGTGTTTTTTGCTCCCTTTCCCCCAAATTTCTAAGCACTGAGTGATAACATTAAATTGATAATATTGCTCCTCAAAGTTTTCCTTAGGATGACTAAACACAACAAGCTTTCTGATGTATTCCAGCCCCTCCTCCTTCTGTTTGACATTTACTGCCAGCAAAAAAACCCTAGTGCACCTTTGCTCTGGGAAAACCAATCCCTTAATACTTCCAAAGGCACACCCTGCACTGAGTAATTAATGCACTGATTAATTGCCCACGTGCACCCCTGTGCTTCTGTGTATCTTATGGGCTGAGACTCACTGGAGAAGGTGCACGAAGGATTGACAAGTGCAAAGAGCAGAGTCCAGTGCCTCTGCACAGTCCACAGGGCTCTGGGTATGGGGGCTCGAAGAATTATACAAACATTGATTGGAAAATCGATTTTAATTGATTAAGGTTGGTTCTGTGATTTGGAAAATGCCTATGGAGATAAGGAGTCCATTTACTTAAGGACACTGCATATGAAATTTAGACAGCCTTTCTGGTTTCAGTGTCCTTTTCTTTTTTGGTTGTTTTTTTTTTTTTACGTTTACAGTTATATTAGACCTCACTAAATTTGATAGATTTAGCCACTTAACTTATAGATATTAAAGATAAGCAAAAACATCTTCAACCAGTAGTTGTCTCTGTTCTGAAAACATCCTAGAATTCTTAGCAGAGTAACTATTTTAGACCTTAAGTCATCTTTACAATTATTCTCAGAAATTTCTTTACCACTTGCACTACATTATTAATTAATTGATTAATTAATTAATTATCTGTAGGCCAGAACTGTGCAGAGTACTCAAGGTGTAGCTATTTCACACAATACTACAGTGGAAAAGCCCCCTAAGATCATTGAGCCCAACCATTAATCCAGCACCATCCTTGAGTTCACCACTAAACCACGTCCCCAAGTGACATCTCCACGTGTTTTTTGAACACTTCCAGGGATGGCGATTCCACCACTTCCCTGGGCAGACTGTTCCAATGCCTCTTTTAGTGAACAAATATTCCCTAATATCCAATCTAAACCTCCCCTGGTGCACCTTGAGGCCGTTTCTTCTTTATCTGATGGTTTGGGAGCAACCTTTACCCTTCCTACCTGGATACCGACTCCAAGCCTGGCACAGAGGGCTCTGCTGTGTACAGAACAAACTTCCCTCTCCTCACAGAGTCCCAGAATAGTTGGGGTTTGAAGTGACCTCTGGAGATCATCCCTCCAACCCCCTCCCAAAACAGGGTCACCTGGAGCAGGTGATACAGGAACGCACCCAGGTGGGACTGGGATGTCTCCAGAGACTCCACGCCCTCCCTGGGCAGCTGTTCCAGCGCTCTGCCACCCTCCACGTAAAGTTCTTCCTCGTTTTGAGGCGGAACTTTTTGTGGTTTAATTTATAAATCGCAATTGTAACCCTACAATTGTAACTGTGACCGCCTCGCCTCGTCCTGTGACCTGGCAGGACCTGGCAGGACCTGGCAGCTCCGCGTTGTCCCCCCACCCCAGGCCGGCTACCCCCTCTTCCGGCACTCCACCCCCACCCCCGTCCTACCCGAACCGCCTTTCCCGGCCCCGAGGGCACTGCAAGAGCCCTCCCGTGTCTCCCCCTTCCCTCCTGGGCAGCGCCTGGACCGGGGATGCGGCTCCGGATCCCGCGGCCGGTCCCGGTCCCGGCCCGACGCGGTTCCCATGGCAACGGGAAGCCTCGCGCGCGCATGCGCCCGTCCCCTCAGCGCGGCCGCCATGATGGTCCCACCCCGCTGCCCTCCCGTCACCGCCATCCCGACACCGCAGTTCCCGTAATTCCCGCACCAATCCCGGCCCCTCGGCGTGACGGGAAAAGGGATCCGCTCCTTCTCCCGCCCCGCGGTGGGGAGGAGGGCGGCAGGAACAGGAAGAGGCGTCAGCGCGAACCCGGCGTCCTTCCCATCTCCATCCGTGTGGGAGCAGTCAAGGGCAGCGGGACTGTGGGAAATGGGAATCAAGGACAGAACCGGCTGGGAATGTTCTTTCCAGAAGCTCTGCACTCCCTCAGGTCATTTTTATACAGGTAGAGCAGCTCACGCCATCCCTCTACAGCGGGATGAATGTTCCCCCCAACAAATCCATAGGCAAACACTTGTTATCGCCAGGGCTCACTTTTATTCGTATTTAGCCTCCCACTGCTTTGTACAACATATCACGGACAGGTGCAGTTCGTACCTTGTGCTATTTCTTACAGAGACAGCTGTAACATCTGATACTGCCACCATGGAATGTAAGCTAACAGGAGAAAAAGGGTGTTTTTACAAATTGCCTTTTATTTTTGTGACTGCTGTTGGAGGTACAAGGGGTTTGAGTGTAAAATAACTTGCAGGGAAGGGTTTTAACACCTCAAAGGTGATGAGGAGGGCTTCTGAGATTTAAATGTTTTAAATTTTCTATGGGCAACAACACTGCAGAAACCAGAGCTGGGTCGAACACTTTAAAAGCATTAGGACACCAAATCAAGGCTTAGTTTTCACAATATGTATTTTAAATGTTACATTTAGATGTTATTCAGAAGAACACTGTAAATAAAGTTACAAAATACAGTAATCCCAGGGTCAGATATAGCAAAAATAGGGAGCCCGTGTCTTCGTTAACAATGAATAAATATAACATTTAAATAGCTGGAACATACCAAGTACTTATGCCTTAAATAAAAAAAATAGATGTTTATATATCTCTCTCAATATTTTAGAAGTCATTTAGTGCTACTGGAAGCTTCTAAATTACAAAGTTGGAGGCAGAGGATAAAAAATGACAGCAGGGCACTCCTGACACTCTCTGACAGAAGCCAATTCAGACTTTGTGGTTTTGGGCAACAACAGCCAAAGAAGTCACCAATTTTAGGATTGAGTTGAAGGGTAAGATAAAGGGATTGTACTCCACTATATCCCCTAAAAACTGGGATGTGGTGGTGTCAATCAGAGAGAACCAGACCCCAATACCCACTCCCTCAGTGCACAATCATTTAAGCCTCCAGCTTCAGCACAATGTACCATACACAAGTAGAACAATTCTCTAATGCCATGTATAATTTTCTTTTTGCTCAAGAAACCCTTGGTATGAGGTTTGGAGCTGCAGTGCACAGGCCACCACCAAGACAGAGCCTTCAGACAAACTCTCCATTATTCCTTGGGCTTCACCACATATTCCTGGAACATGGAATACAGCACACCTACAAGAGAGAAACAAAAGCACAGTTGGAGAGCTGGGTGAAACAGGAAACAACAGGGTTAAAAATCTGGACAGAAAGAGGTATTCTCAGCAGGAGAAATAATGTTTCCCTTCCTCTTCTGCTGCATTTTTCTAATAGCAGGGATGGCTACAAAGCTCTTCATGTACAGAGAACCTGGCTGTGAAAATATACTGTGTATCAAAATGCTGATCCCAACCCAAATCCGGTTTGCTTTGCAGCCAAAGTCGAGCTTTCCTGTTGTACCTCCTGGGAATACAGTAGGAGAAACAATGTCTGATGGGATACACAATATACACACGTACACAGCTGCAATGCTTAGATGAGACCTGGGATGTACAAATCACTCAGGACATTCATGGACACAATTCCAGTCCTGAAAATATATACATATATAGAGATATAGATACACATACTACGTATGTAATATATATATATATAATATCACAGGCTACACAAGTTGATTTTTCAATGCATTAAATTCAGAAACAGCAAGAGGGAAAAATACTCATGCCAGGTAAGTAGGTTTTTTCTTTGCCTCTAATTTCAGAGGCTACACAAGCTGATTTTTCTAATGCAATAAATTCAGAAACAGCAACAGGGGAAAATATTAATGCCAGATAAGTGGGTTTTTTCTTTGTCTCTAATTTCCACATTTGCAGAACTTCACTTGCCACATCCAGAAGTATTCAAAACTGCTACTCTCAAGGTCAGTGCAGTTTAACATTAAATACTTGTACTTAAACATCAGATAACTCCAGAAGGGCTGAGCAAACACCAGGAACAAGCACAAACATCCTGAAACAAATGTTCTGGATACTCCCACCCTGAGGATATGTCACACACACTGTGTTATCCAAGAGGCTCTCTGTGGTTTGCCACTTCCCAGCACAGCTCCCATTCCATACGTACCACACGTTATGGCTCCCACCACGAAGCCCTGGGCTGCCACTCGCATGTGGATCAGGTGAAGTGACATTTTCATGTCACCTCTGTGCTTCAGCCTGTACAGCCCATATCCAACCACGGCAGCAAATCCAGCCATCCCTGCAAGGCAAGGAGAGCATCCTGCTGAGGGGAGATCCAGGGCATCCAGAGGAGTGAGGGGACCCACCTAAACAAAATATCCTGGGAATCACAGAATCCTTTAGGTTGGAAGAGACCCTTTTAACATCATCGAGTCCAACTGTTCCCCAGCACAAGGCCACCACTAAACCAAATCCCCAAGTGCCACATCCACACAGCTTTTAAATGGCTTTTAAATCCCTCCACCACTGCCCTGGGCACCCTATGCCAGTGCTTGACAACCCTTTTTATGAAGAATTTTTTTCTAACATCCAGTCTAAACCTCCCCTGGCACAACTTGAGCCTCTCATCCTAAAATAAGCATGTTTCCCTCTGGTTTTGTGTGTGTAGTGGCAAGTCCTGGCCCATCTCCTGTTTCCACTCCAGTGCCACCTCATTCAATGCAAAAGTCAGTGCAGGGAAGAGCAAGAGACTTCCACCGGCATTAAAATGTCAAAAGAGCAGGTCAAAGTGTCAGAATTCCTTGGATATTTTTCAGACAGAGCCGGGGCTCCTTGCACCCCCTTTCCTGGATGGAAGCTCGCACCCAACAATCCCACTCAGCTGCTGCTGGACCCTCAGCGTGGGATGCTCCCTGACGTACCCGCCCGCCTGCTGAGGCTGCTATTTTGGGTGTTGTCACATTTGGCCAGGTGCCACCGGGACAGGACAAGTCACATGCTGCTGTCCCCAAGCTCTGAGGAGGGAGGCTCAGCGAGGGCCCTTTCCCAGGGACAGAGTTCACTGACAGTCCTTCAGGAGAGCAAACGGCGCTGGCTTTGCCAGCTCCAACCACTGCACCCCAGTGCTCTCACAGAATGCACAAACTTCTCCAATTCCATCCATTTCATTCCATTTTTAGGACTATTATTAGTTCAAAGGTGGCTGCCGAGTTTTAAATGCTGCGTATATTTTACTGACAGGAGCACAAGCAGTTTGTCTCCCTAAGCCTGGAGTATTACCAGTTCCACTAGGAAGCCACAAGCCCTTAATTCACGTGGTACCTTCATTAAATACCAATTAAGAGTTTTAGGGCCTCCAACCCAGCTCTGATACAGATCAAAGGTGAGTTCTGCCAATCTGTTTCGGGGAACCTGAACTCATGGAGTTCACAGTACGCCTGAGCAAAGTGGAGACAAAGTCCTGTGACCTCAGGAACCAGTGACGGATATCTGCTGGCAAAAACTTGGAACAGTTCACCCCAAGTGACCCAACTGCTCTCCATTTAAGGAGGTTGGAAATCAAAACGTGTCTGGTGTCAGAGGAAATCTCTCAGGATGAACACGACCCATCCCTGCTCTCCTCAGCAGCTTCAGGGGCTCTCAGCAGAGGCTGAGAACTCTACAAGCTCTTCAAGCTGGGGTAACATAAAAACTACTAAAAGAATGCATTTTAAACTAATGGGTGGCAGCAGAGGGGTGAAATGTTTAGCAGACTGGCTGTAATTTAAATCCTTCTAGTTTGTATTTTGTTAGCTTTAAAGTCACTTTGTAGTGATCACATAATTCCCAGGAACCCTGCACAACATTCCTTACCAGACAGCATCACTTAAACACATTTTCTAAGCTCACCTAAACATTTCAGGGTTTGTTGGTTTGGAGTTTTTTCTTTTAAGTCCCGAGTTTTCTATTTAAGGTGACAGACCTCATTAATTTCCCTCTTTCTTGCAGGACAAATACCACTCCAGGCAGAAGGATTACTGCTATCACCAAGCCTAAATGCGGAAATAATTTCCCAGTAATTTCCTGCTCACAGGAGGAAGGTGAACAGTGATGGTGTTGACACCACATCGATTGCCCATGAAGAGAAAGGTCTGTGCAAACACATTTCCCCATCTACAAACTCACCAACGGGCACGAACGGCGTCTCCTTAAACTTCCTTATCAGCTTCGAGGTCTGGCTGGTGTCAGTCTCATACTCAGGATAAACAGATTCCTGCCTGGGTGACATGGTGGCTGTGAAGACAAAGAGCCTCCCTTCAGGTTTTAGAAACCCCAAATTAAGAGAATCTTTGGGGAAAGAAAATCCCTTGCGTATTCCCCCAGTCACAAATACCCAGGTAGTGAGATACAAGCACAGGAGCCATGGACAGGTGATTTAATTCAAGTGAAGCAGGATTGTTACTTAACAGGAGAGGCAAGAACAGGACAGAACAAAAAAAAAAAAAGTAGGGAAGCAACAGATTTCTGCCACCCGTTTTCACACCTTTACAGATCCATGTGGCCCCCCCACGCTCACAGGGAGCGAGAAGCCACAGAAAGCTTTGGCCACTGCCCGCCTTTCCTTTTAGGAATTCCATGCCACACCACTTGGCTTTCGCAGGCTGTTCCTTTATGGCAGCTCTGACCTCAGCAAAGTTCACATCTCCCCTCTCACTCCCTGCCAAGAACAGCAATCACAGCGAAGCGGGAGCCGCTGCACAAGGTCAGCCCTGCCCGGCAACTCCTCAGCTGCCTATCCCACCTCAGCGTAATTCCAGAGTCCTGGAGAACACAGGGATGTAGAACAGCCACCCCTGAGGAGCTGGAGCAAGTCTTGGAGCCCTCCATAGGTGCAGACTCATGTGGGGACACATCAGGAGGAGAAATCATGCACAGGTGATTTCTCACCTGCCTCCCAGGAAAATAAAAAGCAGCGACAGCCCTGAGAAAGGCTCCACTCACAGAACCGTCATCACCAAACCAGTGAGATCATCCTTCAAAAATTCCCAGCTTTTTGTGCTGGGAATTACATGGATTACACCCAGACCTGTTCCCTCCTCAGTGGCAGCATAAACACCATTCAATGAACAATGATTTCTGCCCAGCTACGCCACAGAGGCCTCTGCTAGAAAAGTCTCCACTGTTACTGTTCCAGTTTTGACCACCAACACACTCCACAGCAAAACACAGCTCGGGGGCACATGGAAAGACTCCAAGCTCTCAGAATAAACTACCAGGAATTTCATTTAAGCAGGGGCCAGTAACCATCGGCAAAAGAGACATTTCAAAGGTGGCTGCGCTCCCTTGTTACGCAGCATTTCCTGCACACCCATGTGAACAGACTGGTTCTCAAACTAAAGGCTCAGACCATTTCCTCTGCCAGGCCAAAGGAATTGATCTCTCTGTGCCTGCTACAACCACCCTGGTTTGCTAAATGAGAGTTATAATTTTAGCGTGACTCATTTGGAGAAGGAAACAGGAGCACTCGGTCACTCGGGAGAGGGGGCGACAGCCAGGGGTGGGATTTACACAAGAAAACGGTATTGAAAGTGAATCAATTCATCCACCCCGAGAGGTTTCCACGACCTTCAGCTCACACCGGGGTGGGCCCGGGGCAGAGGAAACTGCGTGAAACACACACCCTGACTGCCCTGACCTTGCCCACACCCAACAGTGAGGTCTGTGTGTCAGGTGTCACCCACAGCGGGAGGAACACGAGTGGGAAGGTGACAGGATCCCTCTACGAGAGGTGTCACCCACGCAGGGAGGCACATGGGTGGGAAGGTGACAGGGCCCAGCATCCCTCCCGGCAAGGCGGCGGCCCTGGGCACCACCAGGCTGCCTTCCCCCTCTCCAGCCCCACATGGAGACCCTGTCCCACTCCAGCCCCAGGTCCCTGTACCCCACACGAGTACAGGGTACACCGCTCCAGCCCCAGGCCCTGCCACCCACGCGGAGACCCTTCCCCACTCCAGCCCCAAGTCCCCGCACCCCACACGGGTACAGGGTACCCCACTCCAGCCCCAGGCACCTTTACCCCACTCCGGGCCTCTGCCCTACTCCTGCTGCAGCTCCCCACACGGGGACCCTGTTCCAGCCCAGCCCCAGGCCCCCGCCCAGCCCCACACGGGGACCGTTCCCCACGGCAGCCGCAGGTTCCCGGACCCCACACGGGGACCCTTCCCCGCTCCAGCCCCAAGCCCCCTCATCATCCTCCGTGCCCCTGGATGTACTCCAGATGTCCCCGTTTCCCCCCGACCCTGTGCTCACCGCAGTCCTCCCGCTCCCCGGTACCGGCCGCGTCTGCCGCGCCAGGCCCCGCCCCCGCCTCTTATAGCCCGGCCCGGCCCCGCCCCCCCGCCGGGACCACAACTCCCAGCGCTCCGCGCGGCCGCGCGCCCGCCGCCGGCCAATCAGTGGCGCGGCCGCCGCCGCCGCTGCCTTATACGATCGGGGGGGCGGGGCCGGCCGTGACGTCACGCGGGGCGCTCCGCAGTGCGGCGCCGTCGCGGGGGGGCGGGGCCGCCGGCAGGGGGCGCTGAGGGGCCCGGGGCGGCCCCTCACGGACCCGAGGGGGTGCGGGGGGTGAGGGGAGGGTACGGCCGGGCACGGACAGGCCGCTCGGGTCACCCCGGAGCGGGGCTTAGCCCGTCCTAAACAGGGTGGAAAAACAGCCAGTGACGTCTTTGCAACTTGTCAGCTTGGCACACCAGAAACTTTCTGTGTCGGTGTTATAAAACCTCACTGTGACATCGAGTCAGCACAAGCGCCTGGAGGGACAGGACAAGAGGGAATGGCTTCAAACTGACAGAGGGCAGGGTTAGATGGGATATTGGGAAGGAGTTCTTCCCTGTGAGGGTGGGAAGGCCCTGGCACAGGTTGCCCAGAGAAGCTGTGGCTGCCCCATCCCTGGAAGTGTCCAAGGCCAGGCTGGACGGGGCTTGGAGCAACCTGGGATAGTGGGAGGTGTCCCTGCCCGCGGCAGGGGGTGGGACTGGATGGAGTTTAAGATCACTTCCAACCCAAACCATCCTGGGATTCTGTGACATCAGGTGGAAGCTCTTCAGCAAAGGGCAAAGTCAGAGCTCAATTTTCACAGAATCTGAGAATCCCAGGTTGTATTTGGAGTTAGAAGGGCCCTTAAAGATCATCTCATTCCAACCCCCTGCCATGAGCAGGGACACCTTCCATTAGCCCAGGTTGCTCCAAGCCCTGTCCAGCCTGGCCTTGAACTCTTCCAGGGATGGGGCAGCCACAGCTTCTCTGCCTTTCCCTCTTGATTTTCTCATTATGTTTTCCAAAAGTTCAGCTTTCAAGCAGAGCTTACCTTACACCTCCTGTGTGCCAGGCAGTGGATTTGGAAGCCCAGTTAATCCAGAAGCTGCTCCTGACTCAAAGCAAACCGTTCTCTGGAGCAGAAGGAAAAATCCACTGGGATCCTGGAGATGCTTAAAATCCTCCCCTAAACCTGAGGGCAGCTCATCAGGGCAAAATAGCAAGGAAAGTCCTTTTCTCCATAAGCCCAGTTTTGCAGTGTGGTGTTTGTGCCTCTCCATCTCCAAGTAGGGGGAAGCAGAGTCAGGGTCACCCCTGCACCCACACGAGGCATTTTGGGCAGCGTGAGAGAAAGTGGCTCAGACAACCATTTGTTCCAGCTCCATCTCTCTAAATATGCTTCCCATTACCCCTAATCTTGTTACTTTAATTACCAGAGCCATTAGGGCTCTGCAGTCAAAGGAAACAAAAAAAATCTATGCAATTATCAGCCCTCAAATTGAGTTAAAATCTTGTAATAAATTACAGCAAAGGCCACTTTCTCCAGTGACTCTCAGAGGCACATTTAACTCCCTGCTTCAGGGCAGAAACTCAATTAAAAACAAAAACTTATTTCGTTTTCATTGCTGGGCTAATGAAACCTCTGTCGCTTGCAGCATCTCTCTGTGTGTCCAGTGTCTGGTCTCTGTGAGTGGTTCTTGCTCCCTGCTGATGTCTATGTTGCACATATGTATTTATTCTATAAATATATGTATTATTATATGGTATATTTAAATGCAGCAGCTGATGGTGGCGAACATGAAAATGGGTAAAAATAATGTATTTCTCTCTGTCAATCCACTTAACAAGGGGCAGGTTTGATGCAAAGCTGTGGCCATCACTGCTGCTCCACCCTCCTGCTTTCACCAGGGTGGTTTGAGGAGTATAAAACACACCAGGATTGGCACAGTCAGGGTGTTCCCATGGCCCTGCTTGGTGGGAGATGAGGAAACAAGCAGGAAGGTGACCACTCACCAACAGTGATGTTCTGAAACTTCTCCAATAAACCACTTTGACTGAGGTTTCTTCTGTCAAGGTGTCAGAAACTTCTGTCAAAAACCTTTCTGTCAAAAAACTTTTCTGTCAAAACCTTCTCCCACAAACACCTTTGACAGAGGCCATTTCTGCTCTTGCACGGGTTGAGGATCCTGATGCATCCAAAGAGCACATGAGTTAATCAGATTTCCTGGAAAACATGCAGATTCCTACAACAAGGTCTCAGCATGTGCTCAGACAGGGTGGAGACCATTTATCCACTGCTGTCATCCTTGACCAACGCCAGGAAAGGCAAAAACAAAACCAGGGAGGATATATTTCCTGCCCACTTGCTCTTACACGAGTGAAAGAGGTTCCTAAAAGCCTCATTTGAGCATTCAGCAGGATGGAAACAGGGGAAGAAACTCCTGTAAGTGCATTTTCTGCTTCTTGCTTGTAGACAGAGCTGTGCACGAAACCTGGGGAGGTTCTCCTTTCTTTTTGAAAGGTGGCCAGTTTGGGATTGGGATTAGTTTCTGAGCTAAATCCACATTGTGTTCACCACTTCTCCTCTCTGAGCTACGGGACGGGGATGTGGATGTCAGTGCCAGGCTGATATGGAGGGAGAAAGATGTGGCTGAGGGGGAAAAGGCTGGAAGAGACCCAGAAATGTTAAATGTGGGAATGGCTTGTCCTGATGTGGACACAGAGGGTGTGAGGGGAAGGGTATTTTGGGTATTTCGGACTCTTGTTAGGTGTTGCTGTGATCAGCGAGGTGGGCAGCTTTGGTTTCCTCTCAGTGAGGAATGTGGTAGAGTCACAGCTATATATGGCTGGGGGTGAGTTTCTTCCAAAATATGATACAGGAAAGAAATTTTGAAAAGCTCATTCCTGGACAAATCCCAGACAAACACTCTGCCGTGGCAGATCCCTGCTCTCCATCACTGCTCTGTCTGAAGTGCCCTGCAGCACTTGCCAAAGAGCTGCGAGACAGCAAGAAAACATTTCAACACAGCTCAAATCACTTTTTATTTTCTTTTCAGCTGCCTGGAATTGCCTGGAACAGGTATTTAAGCAATTTTAGGCATGGGACCACGGCAGGTACGTCCAGAGCTTCACCCCTTACAACTGCACATCCACAGGCATCCTCAGCACCCCACTCCGAGCTTTGGGAGCTTTCCTTAATCCATGTGGGGTGGAGGGGCTCCGCTTTTCCAGGGTGTTTGTGGCGAGGGAACCATCCCTAGGAGTTGCAGAGCCACCGTGGGATATGTCCTCCTTGGGAGGACAACCAGGGACCAACAGCTTCATTTTCTCATTACTCACTGGCTCCAGGTCTCTTGGGAAATGGGACAAACAGGTCCTGGAGGAGAAACTGTAGGCATGGAGCTGCACAGCCAGGCCTGTCTGGGATTGCTGGAAAATGAACCCCAAGGAAAAGCTTTGGCCGTGGCTGAAAAAATGTGTGGTTTAGGGGTGGAAGGGTATTTGCACCACTTTTCCCCCGTGCGAAACTCTCAGAGTTTGGAGATTAGCCTTGATTTTTAAACTCCACATTACCCTTCGTGGTGCTGACAGGGGGTGGCTCAGGCAGATCCCATTCCCACCGTGGCAGATGGGCTCTTCTTTTGAAACCCTCATAATGTTCTTGTTTGTGTGGTGGGTTTATCATTCTGAAAATCAGAATCCAAAAGTAGGAAGCTGCAAACCACTAATCGTTTCCTGACCTCTGGGCTGCAGCTGTCTAAACACTGAGGCCAGTCCTGGGGAGTGGCCGAGTGCAGGTCATGCCTTGGCTCGTGCAGAATCCATTGCAACAACATTCTTCCAGCTAAATCTCTACCTCTAATCTTGATTCAGGATTTGATTCTGGTGCCTACCAGTTCTTACCTTGGATGAGTCTTTGATCAACCTGTTCTAATGGAAGGTCTCCCTGCCCAAGGGGTTGGAATGAGATGGTCTTTAAGGTCCCTTCCAACCCAAACCATTTTGGGATTCTCTGAATCTCTGATTCTGTATTTTCTACTTACTAATATTTTTCACAAAAATCCATGTCTTGGTGTCCTAGAGCTGACACAGAGAGTGGTCAGTGTCCCACCAGGAGCAGGGAGATGTTCAGCATTTCCCCTCTGGGAACAGCCACACCGACACAAAGGTGCTGGTGGCAGGTTCTGCTTCAGCAAGAACTGAGATGCCCCTTCCTCAGTAGTGACCCAGGTGAACATAAGCAGCTCACAGTGAGGTGTGGTGGTGGATTTCCCGTAACTGAGAGCAGAAACTTCCTCAAAAGCTTGTCAGGAAGAAGTAGTGGGTTATGTCAGAGGAGTCTGTGCTCATTGACTTTCAAGTTTTATATTTCCAAGTAAGGAAAGCAGAATTTAATTTTTTTAATTTCTGTGTAGACAGTTCTCCTTACAATTAAACAAAGACCAAAGAGTGTAGGACACAAAATAGTTACCAAAAAGTGGCAGAAATTTAAGCCTATGAACTTCCACTACCTGAAGAGACCCTACAAGAAAGACCAAGAGAGACTTTTTACAAGAGCACAGAGTGACAGGACAAAGGGGAATGGATTCAAACTAAAAGAGGGTAGGTTTAGATTGCATATTAGGAGGAAATTCTTTGCTGTGAGGGACTGGAACAGGTTGCCCAGAACGGCTGTGGCTGCCCTATCCCTGGAAGTGTCCAAGACCAGGTTAGATGGGGCTTGGAGCCACCTGGGCTTGTGGAAGGTGTCCCTGCCCATGGCAGGGGGTTGGAACGAGGTGATCTTTAAGGTCCCTTCCAACCCAAACCATCCTACGATTCTATGAACTAAAGGACAACCCTCCACAATGTGGTCTTTGTTTCCTGTGTGGATTCAAACACTTTGATCCCCTTTCTTGTCTTTTGCTCTTAGGCAGCCACTTGTCAAATGCAACCTCAGCAGTGACAACAACAACCACAGCCCCCTGGCTGGATGGTGCCAACTCCAGTGAGTACCCGTACGAGTACCTGGACGAGGAGGATTACGGGCAGTACGGGCTCTGCACCAAGGAGGAGGTGCTCTCCTTCAGCAAAGTGTTCCTGCCTTCATTTTACACCGTGGTCTTCCTGCTCGGGATGGCCGGGAATGCCCTCCTGTTCATTGTCCTCATTATGTACATCAGGAAGAGGAAGAAGATGACTGAGGTGTATCTGCTGAACCTGGTGGTTTCAGACTTCTTCCTGCTGCTGACCCTTCCTTTCTGGGCTCTGTACGTTTCTCAGGGGGTCACCTGGCATGTTTTGTGCCCGGTCTTAAATGCCATGTACACTCTGAACTTCTACAGTGGCATCTTTTTTGTGAGCTGCATGAGTCTGGACATGTATCTGCAGATAGTTTATGCTTGCTCTGCTCCCAGCTCCACGTTATGGAGGAAGTCCATCCTTGGCTTGTTGGTGGTGTGGATCCTTTCCATACTTCTCTCCATTCCTGATGGCCTCTTCACCAGCACAAGGCAAATCCACAATGAAACCACCATGTGCACCCAGGATTATGGCCAGGACCACTTATTTTGGAAAGTTGCCTTTCGGGTCACTCAAAACATCCTGGGCTTCCTTTTGCCCTTCCTCTTCATGGTGTTCTGCTACTCCCGCATCGCCTGTGTCCTCAGCACGTCACAGCTGCCTGGCTCCAGGAGAGCTCTCTGCTTGGTCTTCACTCTGGTGGGTGTCTTCTTTGTCCTGTGGTCTCCCTACAACATTGTCCTCATCCTCCACTCCCTGCAGGATGTCGGTGTGATCAGGAGCTGTGAAAGCAGCAGGAAGCTGGACTATGCCATGCAGGTCACGGAGAGCTTGTCCTTTGTCCACTGCTGTCTCAACCCCTTGCTCTATGCTTTTGTGAAGAAACGATTCAGGTCCTACTTGTGGAAGATCCCTCAGGCCATTTTCAGGAGAAGTGGTTTCTTTCACATCCAGCCCTCAGAGACAAGCCCGTCTTGCAGCAGATACGTGGCTGAGATAGAAATGTTGAGTATCACAGCTATATCATAAATATTTACATTATTTACACTGTGTGTGTGCCCTCTCTGCTGCATTTGGTCCTGGCCATGGGATGGAGTTGGATGATCCTCTGGGGCACAGGGTGTGACTCTTGGGGATGGTCCTAAGCAGGGCTAAGAGTTAAACTCGATGATCCTTGTGGGTCCCTTCCAACTCAGCATATTCTGTGATTCTGTGAAACATGCAGACATTCTCTTCTATGAATTCCAAAGGGTCGGATGGAGGAGAGCAATCCCATTATCCCTCCAGTTCATGGTGTGGGCTATGGAATAGCTTTTACACATTCATCCATCAGTCCAGAAACCCAGCCAAGGAGTGGCTTTGCTTCTCCTGGCTCTTACCCTCTGCCAGGTAGGTAGCAAGAGCCAGATGGCTCAATTGGGATCACCCCTTTGTCTACCGGGAGAGATAACAGGAATAGTTGGGCATCTTTAAGCTGAGTTGTCTGCCCAGTGACAGTTTCCTCTGTTAGGATGAGCTGTGCCACACTCGGCTCTGCTGAGCAGGAAACTCTCCCCAAGAGGTACATCCTTGGTTAGAGATCAGTTCAATCATAGACTGATTTGAGACTAGTTTGATCAGAACAAAGCTGAAACCAGTAGCAGCCAGTGAGAAAGAGAAAACAAGTGGGCTCAGCAGAACAGTGATGGAGGTATTTGACTTCCACAGAGCCGCTTTGACAAGATATGAAAGATCCATGGATACTGTAACATAAATATTGGCTTTGCAACACCACAGAGTGAGATCATGGGCTGAATAGAAGAGCACAGGGAGCTGTTGGCCAATCCTTATTACCCAGTGTAGCCTTAAAGCTCAAGGTGATGAGTTTCCTGATTTTTATTTAAATATATTGTTCACCCCAAATGCTCCTGAACCTTAAATGGTCCCTTTCCAGCCTGGAAATCTATTAAGCGTGGGACTTGCCTAGAACTGTACAGAAAAAAAAAAGAATTATTTAAAAGAAAACACTCATCACCATAATTTTATTGCTAGACAAGGTTACAGGACTGAGAAGGGCTTTGAGTTGATCTGGAAAGATGGATTTGTTTTCACTGCTGTTATTTTTCTTCCCAACATTGCTACAGCATGTTTCCAAAATGGTAAGGCTGGGAGCTTTCCTAAAAGAAACAAAGCCAGAATATGCATTTAGCTGATGCTGTGATGTGACCTTCACTCCACGGGTCAGGTCACTGGAGGGAACGTGGAAAGGGACAGCAGCTGGGAAGCAAGAAAGAAGATGAAGATTGCGATCCCATAGAGAGGAGAACTCTTGGGACTGCGGAAAACTTATGAGGGGATTCTCAGGGGAAGGGCAAAGGTGAGGGAAATAGCGAGGGGATAATGTCACTCTCTGTCCAATGTGAGGGTGCTGCGAGGTTCAGGCACCAGTGACTGGGACAGAGGTTGTGGTGACTGTGTGTGCAGATCAGGGTGGCAGCACTGGGAAAAAACTTCTAGGGCACTGTACCTTGGAGAACATTGAAATGTTGGACACCTTTCCTTCTCTTGGTTTTGGAGACCAAATTGGCTCAGCCGTAACCCCCTCCCTGAGCTCATTTCCAGTACCATTTCCAACATCCACCCCTTGTTTCAATTTTTCAGCCTGCAGCGCTTCTCCATAACCTGGCCCTAAAGACAGAAATCATGGAGTGGAATCCTCTGAACCTTTTTTTTTTCCCCAAAAACTGGGCTCCATGTCCTTAGAAAAGGGAATTTGCTTAAAGTGCTGCAGAGCCCAGGCCAAAACCCATCCCCCTTACACAGCATGGGTACTCCAACAGGATTACAACATCCCTCCCACCTCAGAAATCCCTGCTCATCAAGGGAGAAGTTCAGACCGGGGGCAGGCAAACACCTTCTGCCAATTGGGACAGAGGTTGTTAGCTGTGCTGCTGCATATCAGCTGCTGGATGGGAATAGAAAGCACATTCCTGCCCCAACCTGTCCCTAGTCCCAGCTCCTGGACAGGCACGGAGCTCTCATGGGACTCTGGGTGGTTCTCCTCTGTGCCTTGGTGTCATTGCTGCTCGGTGGCCTCTATGTCCTGGGGGTGTTCCGGAGACGGAGGCCAGATGAGCCACCCCTGGACAAAGGCACCATTCCCTGGCTGGGTTACCTGCTGGATTTCAGGAAGGACAGTTCAGAGTTTCTGAAGAGGATGCAGAGGAAACACGGGGATGTTTTCACGGTGCTGATCGGTGGCTATTACTTCACCTTCGTGATGGACCCCTTCTGCTTTGACAGCATCGTGAAGGAATCACGGTCTAAACTAGACTTTAGGGCTGCTGCAACTCAGCTGGTCCTGCGGGTTTTTGGCTACAAGCCCAAATCCAACCACAAAATAGCCCGTGAATCAAGCGTGAAGCACCTGACGGGAGAGGGGCTCAGTGTCCTGACTCAAAGCACCATGGAGAACTTCCAGAAGCTGATGTTTTTCAACCTGAGCCCAGGAGAGGAGAAGCGAGTGTGGCAGGAGGAGAACCTCTTCCACTACTGCTACAACATCGTCTTCAGAGCCGGGTACCTGGCTCTGTACGGCTCTGAGCCACACCAGGGGACAGGGGACAAGGAGAAAGCTGAGGAGCGAGATCGTGTCCACTCCAACCAGCTGTTCCAGGAGTTTCGGAAGTACGACCGCCTCTTCCCTCGCTTGGCCTTCTCTCTGCTGCCTCCCAAGGACAAAAGAGAAGCTGAACGGCTGAAGAGGCTCTTCTGGAGCGTGCTGTCCGTGAGGAAGGCCTGGCAGAAGGACAATATCAGTGGGTGGATCACTGATCAAGACCAAGTTCTGGCAGAAAACGGTGTCCCCGAGTACATGCGGGATCGTTTCATGTTTATGCTCCTCTGGGCATCCCAAGGCAACACGGGCCCAACTGCCTTCTGGCTCCTCCTGTACCTGCTGAAGCATCCAGAAGCTCTGAAAGCTGTGAGAGGTGAGGTAGACAAAGTCTTGAAGGAGAATGGGCAGCAAGTGAAGGCAGGGAGCCGTCCAGTTACCATCACCATGGACATGTTGAACCAGGCTCCTCTTCTGGACAGTGCTCTGGAGGAGACCCTGAGGCTGGTGGCAGCCCCGCTGCTGGTCAGAGTTGTCCTGGAGGACATCAGCCTCAAGAAAAGCAGTGGGACAGAGTACACCCTCCGCAAGGGGGACAGGCTGGCTCTGTTCCCTCACCTGGCCGTGCAGATGAACCCAGAAATTCACGACGAGCCTCACAAGTTTAAGTACGACCGTTTCGTGAACCCCGATGGCACCAAGAGGGATTTCTACAAAAACGGGAAGAAGCTGAAATATGTCAACATGCCCTGGGGGGCAGGAGTATCCACCTGTCCCGGGAGGTTCTTCGCCAGCGCTGAAATGAAACTCTTTGTGTTCTTGATGCTGAGTCACTATGACCTGGAGCTGGTCAATGAGGAAGAGGAGATCCCAGGGATAGACATCAGCCGCTGGGGATTCGGGACCATGCAGCCCATTCACGATATTCGGTTCAGATACCGGCCACGCTTTTGATTTTGGGAAGCCCCTGTTGTGTTGTTTGTTCCAGTGTTACCTCAGAGCAAATTGTGTGATCCCGTGGTTATCAGCTCCTGATCTGATCTTGTTTGCTTAACGTTTATCATGGTTTGTGTTTTTACCTCCGTCTCACGTGTTGCTGCTCTGTGTCTCCGGTTATTGTGGTTTTGGGATACGTGCTAAAAGAGAGACAAAATGTGCCCTCTGGGGCTATTCCCAGCCCCATCCCTGTGGCCATCAGCCTGTTGAAAACCCAGAGGAGCACAGGGGGCATATTGACAAGTGGGAACACGAATTCAGGGCTTTCAAGGAACAAGTATTTTATCCAGGGCTGTTCCAGCAGAGCCGTCAGCCCCGTGGTCCTGGCATGAGACCCCTGGAGATGTGGAGGAGGATTTCTGTCAAGGGAGGGGAGACATCCTATGGTGTGTAGAGGAAGAGCATTTTGGGAATGCACAGGACTTAAAGTAGGATAGTTTTGGGGAGGAACCAAAGGGGGATAAAGGATGGATTTAAGTGATTTGGGGAGGAAAATTGAGAGGTAAGGAGATAAAAGGGGCTGGTTGTGTATGAACATGCCATACACTTCCTCCCCCTGATTTGTTTTAGTGTCTTATTAAATTCCTGTCCTTAAATTCAAGACCACGAGACAAAGAAGCTGTGTGTCCATGGTGCCAGCACTGGCACTGGTGTGAGAGCAGCTGTACAAGCAAAGACCAGGCCAGATGAGCTGGAAAATAAGTGCCTTGGGAATGTGGGGATGAGCTGCTGTGCACCAGCACTGGGACTGCGTTATTTGGTTATCAGCTCCTCACTGACACATTTATTTATCATTGGCAGGATGGCACCAGCTTGTAGTGAACCCCTGAAAGATCAGAGAGCAGCAAATATCCTTTCCAGAGACATAAGAATTTCCCTGGAGTATTCAAATTGTCATGCCTGTGATCCCCTTCTTGTATCTGATGAGATCCCCAAAGGGAGCAGAGCTGTGATGTGCTGAGCAAGGACATACCAACAGCTCCTTCCCATTTCATGTGTAAGGAAAGGTCAGATCTTGCCAATCATCTCATTTACCAGATCAGTGGGAGAAGAACATTGTGAACATCACTCAGAACCTGCAGTACCATTTTCATGTGCTTGTGTGGCTTAGGAATGCAGGTGGTCACCTGCCTTTCCAGGTCTGCAGGAGGCTGAGCATTCAAGACATCCCCACTCTCCCAGTTTAGACCCCATCCTCTGCAAATACCCAAGGACATTGTAAGGAAAAGGATGGAGTGATGGGAAGGGGCTCAAAAACCTAAGTAGGGCATGAGAAAACAAACTCAATCCCTTATGGGCTACAGCCACTGCGACCTTATAGACCTCAAACATCTGTTTTATCTGCTGGATCAATGCAAGATAAAAATTTGCCCCCTGCAAACTCTGCTTTGCTTTGTTCCCCTTCAGTAATTAGGGTAAATTATTAGTCCTTACAGATAGTAAATCCCAGCCTTTCCTGTACAGAGAACAGTGGATTGACTTTGATGCTGACACTAACCTTGGACTTTGGAGATTATGTATGATCAAGGAATGAAACTCAAACATTTTCACAGATTTTGTTCTGCAAAGGGCAGGGGGATGTTGTAACTGCATGTTGAGGGCAAACTATCCCAGCCTGCCAGCATTAGCCCAGACCTTGTGGTGTGGAAATTCAGGCAGAAGCTATCAAGCAGCTTTAGCAGAACCACAGAAAACCAAAACCACCTGTAACTGCACAAGGCTTGACTGTGACAGTTAATATTCCCATTATCAATTCCAGCACCTTTACACAATTTTCATGTTGGCTCTCACCTCTTTTTTTTGTCGCCCCTGGGCTCATTGTTTGGCTCTGCTACCAAGAATTAAATTTGAGCTCTTCCCAAGTTCTGGTCAATTCAAGCTCCAAACCATGCCCTGGAATGCCTTAGGATAGCTGGAGAGCTGAGAGCCGTCATCACATCCTGGCCAAGTGATGTCCTCACTCCAAGGCTCTAGGAAAAGGATTTTTTGTGTGGATGGTTTGCATGGAGCTTGTTCCCTGCTGATACAGAGTGTACACTGGTTATCGTTTGTAGGGACCCCAGGTCAGAGTGAGGGTGAAAGACTGAGATTGGGAAAGGGATATAAAAATAATGACAGTCATTCAGCAGAAAAATCTGGCTTTACTTGCTTGTCAGAATGATTTATTTAACCAAACAATATTGAGTCTATAAAAGACTTCAGACATGCTCAAATGCATGCAGTTGTGAGAAGCAAAAAAAAAAAAAAGTCATATATGGAAGAGTGTGAAAGCTCCAAATGAGTTAATCTGCAATTAAGTTTTATGCTCGAGTGGGTTCTCCCCTGGCACTGAGCTTTCCATCCCAAAGTGCAACAGCAAGAGTAAAAAACCAGCCCGTGCCAACAAAAACCTGACTGGATTTGTAAGAGAAGTTAAATTGGAAGGAATCCAGGAATAAATTTGAAAAGTTTACTAGGGGGCAGCTCTCATTGCAGTGTCTGTCTCGTGTAACTCTTCTATCCCCTGAGAGAGCTGAGTGTGGAGTCTGTCCCTAAACCCCTGGTTTTCTCTCCTGTAGAGCTTAATGAAGACAATATTCCTTCAACATTCAAAAGTTTTACAATCCACTGAGTCAGTGCCTGCTCTCAACAGCACAGGGAAAGTGTTCCAGGTCACAACTCCTGCTCTGCACACTGAGCAGGGGAAGGAGTCACAACCTGCATCCTTCAGGTTTGGAACAACAGGGGTTAAACATGTTGGGAAAGGCCATCCCTGGTTAAACAGCCTCAACTCTAGTATGAAACTGCAATGCATCAGGAACTGTTCTCTGTGTTCCTTCCTCTAAACACAGACAGATACAGCTCTGAGAAAGCCTCCACTTAATGCTGCTTGTGTGGAAAATCAAAGGAAGTCAGTGGCACCAACAGATGCATCAATCACTGCAGAGAAACTCGAAGGAGCACTGAGGTTATGAGTACAAAGCCACGACACAGCCAACACCACCCATTGCAGAGGAAAGCAGGGCTGGAAGGAGAAACAACGTGAAAGTTCAGGATTTTTTAAAGAATTAAAACACAGAGCCTTTGCCACATCTCTGGGTAGAAGGGCCTGTGCACCCCCCAGGGAAGAGCAGCCTGGCTTCAAAGTGGCAAAGGACAACACCTGCACGTTACAAGGCCATGGTCACTGGTGCATTTGCTGCCTTCACTGTCTGCTGGCCCAGTTACCCAACAAGTCACAGAATATGCAGGAACAGCCTGTGGCAGGCAGGACACACCAGCACAAACACAGGGAGCAGTGACCCCAGCTCAGCTGATGGACACCAGCTTGGCAGGACAGTTTGGTACCAAACACTGAGTGCAGAAGGGACAGGGAGGCAGTTCCTGCCTGTCCCATCCACGTCACTGTGCAATCATGAGGCCGTACTTGGAGCACAGCAGGCCCCTCTTCTTTTCCCTTTCCATGAGGAAATTCCTCAGTTTGGTGGTGGGGAAGGTAACCAGTGCTTGCTGCCTGCTGTCCAAACCTGTCTCCTGGAGCCACGGGCTCTGAAGGCACTCGGAGGCTGACGGCCTTCCCCTGGAACAGGAAAGGTGAGGAGGTCAGTCAGGGAGCCCTGCTGGGTGAGGAGGCTCCTTGAACATGGAGAGAAAGGAAGGCCAATAGCCAGGATCTGCCCCAGCTGTGCAGCTGGGAGAGCAGACACCACCTTACCAGGGGTTTGCACACAGGGTGCTCTGGAGGAAGGACACAGCCCCCCCGGACAGACCCGCGTAGCACCGCGTGAGCTTCACTTTGCCCTTCCTGGTGGTTCTCAGGAACTCACAGGGCACGTCGGAGCTGACGGGGTAGTTGGCACTCAACCTGCCCCAAAAGAAGAGAATTGATCAGAGTGAAGCTGCCTCCAGCTCTGGAGTCTCCAGTGTAAGAAGGGTGTGGACTTGTTGGAGCGAGTCCAGAGGAGGTCCTGGAGATGCTCCATGGGCTGGAGCCCCTCTGCTCTGGAACCAGGCTGGGAGAGCTGGGGGTGTTCACCTGGAGAAGAGAAGGCTCCAGGGAGACCTGAGATCCCCTTCAAGTGTCTAAAGGGCCTCCAAGAGAGCTGGAGAGGGACTTGGGACAAGGGCCCAGAGTGACAGGACAAGGAGGAACAGTTTTAAACTACAATAAAGGAGCTTTAGATTAGATATTAGGAAGAAATTCTTTACTATAGGGGTGGTGAGGCCCTGGCACAGGTTGCCCAGAGAAGCCGTGGCTGCCCCATCCCTGAAGTGTTTGAGATCAGGTTGGATTGGGCTTGGAGCAACCTGGTCTAGTGGCCCATGGCAGGGAATTTGGAACTGGGTGATCTTTAAGGTCCCTTCTAACCCAAACCAGTCCAGGATTCTATGACTCTCATAAGGGCATCACTCAGAATGCTCCTTCTCCCAGTAACTCCCACTCAGCAGTGAAAGGAGAGTCATGACAATGCACAGAAACATCATACAGGAAATAAAAATCTCAAAGGCCACTGTTCTTCAGTGAGTTTCATGACTTTGGCTGGTTTTCCACTTTGGTATCATTTGGATTTTTTTGGTAAAGTTGGGGCTTTTCGGACAAGAGAAAACCACCAGCAGCTGCTGTGTTGTAAAACAGTCTCCTTCCTCTGCAGGGAGACATCGCTGGGACTGGGCATCCTCACATTGTGCAGCCAACTCCATCCCTTCCATACCACAGCCA